GAAAGGTTAGCGACGGAATCACGACAATAATTATTTCCGTCGTTATATTTCACGACAGAAATATGCAACGGAATATGAGTTTTACAACGGAATATTTTTCAAGCGAAGGCGACAGAAAGAAACATTTCCGTTGCCAAAATTGCGATGGACTCGCGACGGGATGACTTCCGTCGCCTACTTCGCGACGGACAATTCCGTCACCATTTTTCGTCGCCACCGCTTGCGACGGATTATTTCTGTCACGAAATGAAATACGACAAGCCTTGACAATACGGAATGGATTCCGTCGCGAAAATGTAAAATTCCGTCGCGAAACGCGATTTTCGACGGAATTTCGCATTTTCGCGACAGAATTCTTTCGTCGCAAACCGCGATTTTTCTTGTAGTGATTTTGAAACAGTTAAAGCTGGAGTTCTTGTCATGGATCCCATTCCAAACATGGAAAAGGTCCTTAACATGACACTCAAATTGGAAAGGAAGCTCAGAAACACTAATAGCCAGAGGAACTATGAAGCTGTCCAATCCAATGCTGTGCATAGTGTTCAATCCACTGATGAACAAGTAGCTGTGGCTGCCTCAGCTATTAACAACAAAAGGAGATTCAACAATAATGGAAATAGGAATGTTCCAAAATGCACTTATTGTGATAAGCTTGGACACACAGTGGAGAAGTGTTATAAGAAACATGGTTACCCCCCAGGTTGGATTCCAGGATATAAAACCAAGGGAAAACAGAATCAGGATATACAGCAGGTTGCAGGTGCTTCTGTGAACCAGGTGAGTGAAGTGGGATTATCTGCTGAGCAGGTTCAGAAGTTACTATCCCTCTTGCAGAATCAGGAAGGTCAGTCCTCCACTAATGCTGCCATCACTGTGACTACTCCCAAGCTCATACCAGATTTCAATCAAGGCAGGTGCTCTTCTAACCATTGTGTTAATATTGTTCTGAGTACTTCTGATATGTGGATTTTAGATTCAGGAGCAACAGACCACATTGTCTGTTCTCTAGATTTTTTTGATGACTATTGTGAAGCTCAAGGGATCTCTGTTAGATTGCCAAATGAGGAAACTGTGACTGTCACACATATAGGACAAATAAAATTGCATGAAAATATATTACTGCAGAATGTGCTTTATATACCATCCTTTGCCTTCAATATTGTATCTGCAAGCAAATTGACAAAACAGTCAGGATGTGAGATTGTTGTGGGGGCTGATTTTTGCAATATTCAGGGGCATCTTGGGATGATGGTTGGTTTTGCTAAGGAGAAGGATGGCTTGTATCAGCCGGTTCATCCTCCTGGAAAGAAAAGAAACAATTCTTTTGACAAAGTTTCTAAGAAAAGTTGTAATAGCTTGGCCATTGAACTTTGGCATAATAGACTTGGGCATTATCCCTTGAATAAGATTCCACAATTGAAAGGAATAAAAGCTGCCAGTTTACACAAACATTTTGAGTTTGTTTGTAACACTTGTCATTTTGCTAAACATAAGAGGTCCATTTTTCGCATAAGTACTTCTAGGACTGCTAAATGTTTTGACTTAATACATATGGATGTGTGGGGACCCTTTGCCATTGCATCTCCTAAGGGAGAACACTACTTTTTGACCATGGTTGATGATCATAGTAGATTCACTTGGCTACACTTGATGAAACATAAGTCAGAGGTTAAAACATATCTTCCATAACTTTTATTCATATGTTGACACACAGTTTGGAGTCAAAGTTAAGACAGTAAGAACAGATAATGGAGGTGAATTCTTCATGACAACTTTTTTTGTTGAGAAAGGAATTGAGCACCAGAGATCATGTGTGCATACACCTCAACAGAATGGGGTGGCTAAGAGGAAGCATCAACATATACTCAATGTGGCAAGAGCACTGAGGTTCCAATCAGGCATACCTTTGAAACTTTGGGGCCACTGTGTCCTCCATGCTATTTTTTTGATTAATAGATTGCCTACTGCTGTTCTTGATGGAAAAATACCCTTTGAAATATTATTTGATAAATCTGTGGATTATGAGCAATTTAGGTGTTTTGGATGCCTATGTTTTGGTGCCACTATATCACAGGGAAGGAGCAAAATGCAAGAAAGAACCAGAAAATGTGTCTTCATAGGACATCTAGCCCATATAAAGGGTTATATGCTATATGATATTGTTGATAACACTGTGTTCATTTCCAGGGATGTTATATTTCATGAGCAGGTCTTCCCTTTTAAGCTAACAAAGAATGATGGCAGCTACACAACTGACAGAATCAGTCTCTCATTACCTTTGATCCCTACTGAGTTGGATATCACTATTAATGACCAGGTCAACACTGGCAGCAGCTTATCCAACCCTGATGAAGAACACATTCAGTATAATGTTGAGCTGAGAAATAATGATGAGATGACAGCAGCATATGAAACTGGCCCCATGATTGAAGATGATCCCATGGAAGAAGATGTTTCTGACTCTACTGAAGAAAATAGTCCTGTGATTAACAGTCCTATTACTCAGCAGCCTAGGAGATCATCCAGAACAAGAAGTATTCCACCTAGATTGCAGGACTATTATTGTCAATCCACAACTACACTCAGTCAAGGTGTGAGGACCTCCCCTCATTCCATAGACAGATACATCTCTTATGATAATCTAAATGATAGTCACAAAGCATGTGTGCTGACCATCAATGCCACACATGAGCCCCACTGTTATGATGAAGCAGTAAAACACAAGGAATGCAGACAAGCTATGGACAGTGAGATCAAAGCCCTGGTGGAGAATAATACTTGGACTCTAACAGATTTGCCTCCAGGAAAGTCCCTAATTGGTTGTAGATGGGTCTATAAAGTTAAGCTTAAGGCAGATGGATCCATAGAGAGATATAAGGCCATGTTGGTTGCCAAGGGTTACACACAGCAATCAGGTGTAGACTATGTTGAGACCTTCTCTCCTGTGGCTAGAATGACAACCATCAGGACCTTTTTGGCTATTGCCATTGCAAAAGGGTGGGACATTCAGCAATTGGACATTAACAATGCTTTTTTACATGGTGATCTTGATGAAGAGGTCTACATGATTTTACCACCTGGTTTTCACAGTGAAAAACCTAGACAAGTGTGTAGATTGCTAAGGTCTCTTTATGGCCTTAAACAAGCTAGTAGGCAATGGAATGCCAAGCTTACTAAGTCCCTCCTAGATAATGGCTTCCAACAATCAGCAGCAGATCCTTCCTTGTTTACCAAAACCTCAGGATCTTCTTTCACTGCCCTACTGGTTTATGTTGATGATATTCTACTAGCAGGAACAGATTCTATGCAGATTGATAAGTTGAAGCAATTCTTAGATAGATCTTTTAGAATAAAAGATCTTGGTCACCTCAATTTCTTTTTGGGGATTGAAGTTTTTAGAAGTCCTGAAGGGCTTAATCTGTGTCAGAGGAAGTATACATTAGAGATTCTGAAAGAGTATGGATTCCTTGATGCAAAGCCTGCAATGACTCCTTTCAATACAGGTCAGAGGCTAACTGCTTTGGAAGGAGAATTGTTGGACAAGCCTGAACACTTCAGAAGGCTAGTAGGCAGGCTTCTTTACTTAACCAATACCAGGCCAGATATTTCCTTTGCTGTGCAGCAGCTTAGCCAACATGTTGATAAGCCAAGAAACACTCATTTGATAGCAGCTCACAGGGTTTTGAGATACCTGAAAGGTTCACCTGGAAAAGGGCTATTTTATCCTTCAAATTCTGACATCAAACTCCAAAGCTTCTCTGATTCAGATTGGGCATCTTGTGTAGAAACCAGGAAATCTATCACTGGTTACTGTGTTTACCTTGGACAATCCTTGATATCCTGGAAAACAAAGAAACAAGCCACAGTTTCAAGATCATCTTCTGAGGCTGAGTACAGGGCTTTGACATCTACTACCTGTGAAGTTCAGTGGCTGCTATTCCTGTTGGCAGATTTGAAGGTTACATTTCATGATCCTGTTGCTTTGTTTTGTGATAATAAATCGGCTGTGGCTATTGGGGAAAACTTTGTGTTTCATGAGCGTACTAAACATATAGATATTGATTGCCATTTAGTAAGACAAAAAGTGCATGAAAAGGTGATCAAGCTGCTAGCCATTCCCTCCAACAAGCAGCTTGCTGATGGATTTACTAAAGCTCTATCCAGACCCCTCTTTGATGCCTTCCATGATAAGCTGGGCCTCCAAGACATGCATGCTCCAGCTTACGGGGGGGGGGGGGGGGGGGGGGGTGATGAAGGAGACACCAAGCATTCAACTTAGCTCACTAAGCAGCAAGGTAGCAAACCAGTAAGGTCAGACCTCAACTCACTAAGCTTCCAACTAAAGAAGGGTAATAGAGTCTTTTCACTTTGTTTGGCAGTTATAACCGTTCTTGGCCCTTAGGCTTGTATATATTGCTGCGTCTTCCTTTCTTCTCTGTGTAATACACATAATCAATAAACACTCCTTCCGTTCTCCATCTGCTGTGTGCATCCATGTTCTTCTGGTTGAATGCATAGCTAGTCCAGTTTCAACACACACACACACACACACACACACACACACACACACACACACACATATATATATATATATATATATATAATAACATTTTATATAAAGACTAATATTCTTGTATTTTGAAGTTTGTTTGTTCAGCAAATTAAACCAAACACTATAATGTTTGATTATTTGCTTATTCCATTTCATATGAAATAAGATTCATAATCTCAAAAGTCAAAACCATACAACTATGAATCCATTATGTGAACCAAATTAAATGTTGCGAATTTAATTGGAAGAAAGAAAATAGCTAGCTACATGTTTTTTTACAAGTACTTTGCACTCCGCACTATTCTCAAATTATATCATTTCCGTACATTCTTTCTTCATACAACGCCACTTTGATTGGTTGGCCAGTAATAACCATCTAAACGATCACCATTATTACCAACAACCAATATATATATATATATATATTTACACTACCTCCTCGAAAATCAGAAAAGTAAATTTAGTATTACTATTACGTAGAAACATACACGATTAACAGCTAGGGAATTGAAGGATTATTGGGGCCCAGTAAGAGATGGGTCCCCCGGGAATTAGAGTACCCATAGCATTGATTCACCGGCTCCGGCGCGGCAGAAGCGGTGGCAAAAGCGGAGGAAATGATGAGTCCCACAAGACGTCGGCGGAGGGGTCCAGCCACAAGAAGTCGTCGGAAGGGTCCAGCCACAAGAAATCGTCGGAGGGGTCCAGCCACAAGAAGTCGGAGGGGTCCGGCCACTGCCGCAGCGGCTCAGCCGGCAACAAGGTGGAGATGGACAGCCTCCTAGGCCTTCTCAAAGTTCGGATCAAACGAGGTATTAACCTGGCCGTGCGCGATGCTCGCAGTAGCGATCCTTACGTTATTGTCAAGATGGGTAAACAGGTACGTATCTTCTGGATCGATTTGATTGTGTTCGATCAGACAATTTCATTGATTCAGAGATCAGAACCTAAATATATGTTTTATGAATGATGATGATGCAGAAGCTGAGGACTCATGTTTTGAAGAGGGATGTGAATCCTGAGTGGAATGAAGACCTGACCCTTTATGTTTCAGATCCCAGTCTTCCCATTAAAGTGGTAGGTAATTAATTAAAAGTCTAAGCTGATAGTTGGATTGCACATTAATAGTTATATGTTCAACAGTCAGGATGTGTGTTTTAATGGAATAATAATGAATTAATGTTGCATGCAGACTGTGTATGATCATGATACATTTAGCAAGGACGACAAAATGGGATATGCAGAAATCGATATCAAGCATTTACTAGAGGCCCTGAAGATGGATAATCATAATAACAGTGATGAGGAGAGAATAGTTGCAAGAGTTCCACCGGGGAGATCAAACTGCCTGGCTGCAGAATCCTGCGTGGTTATCAAAGACGGGAAGGTCACACAGGATATGTGTCTCAGATTGAAGAACGTCGAGAGTGGTGAGGTTGATATCCAAATCCAGTGGATTAATCTCCCTTCTGGCTCCAAGCAGCAGTCTTAATATATATACATTAATAATATATATTATTATAGTGGCGGAGCCACATATACAATGCATGGGGCCTTGCCCCCCTCCAATTTTTATTTTTGTTTCTTTATATTAATATTATAAGATTTTATTTTATTTTTTGTTGCCAATTGCCCCCTTGTTTGGTTGGATGTAGTTTAGTTGTAATTGAATTGTAATTCAATGAAGGCTTTAATTACGTACTGTGTTTGCTTGGAGGGAATTGCAATGAAGGTCTCAATTAAAATGTTTGGAAGGATATTGTAGTCTTTATACTATTTTTTCTTTCACGTCCCTAATAATTTTTATTCCTCTCTACCAAATAATGTAATTTGAATTCTTACATTATTCCTAACTTATTCTTTTTTCACCTAATTGCAATTCATTTCCTTCCTCCCAACCAAACACCCCCTTACTGTAAGCTTTGAAAAAAGTCCAGCTCCAAAAGCTTCCAGAGTACTCTTTACTCCAAAATTCAGCCTCATTCTCATCCAAAAAATTCAGCCCCCCACCCCCACTCCCATAGTCTCATCCAAAAGTTTTAAAAAATTTCAGCTCCAACAAAAAGATCTTGCTTTTCTGACAATTATCGTAATTGGCCCCCCGCATTCCTAAATCCTAGCTCCGCCCATATATATATATATATATATATATATATGGTCAAGTTTTCGTGCGTCCGTATAGTTTTTAACCATTAGGTACACATAAATACACCACAAAGTGTTCGAAAATGCACCATTAGGTGTGATGAGGTGTAGTGCATTGGTGCATTTCTGAACCTTATATGGTGCATTTTTGCATATTTAATAGTGAATCTGCATCGGTTGCACGGAAGCACTATCCACATTTTTCCTTAGCAATGCTTAATCGGTTGTTTATATTGAACATCACAACATACTACCAACATATATTATAAAACATTATGTTACTAGATAGCACATAAAATGCAAAAAAATTAAATTGAAATAATTAAAATGTACTTATAGTATGAAAACTACACATAGATACACACACACACAAAGTATACAAAAATAGTATAAAATTCTTATAAGAAGTATTAACTTTAAAAAAAAAAATGTTATATTATATATATGAACTACTCGAAATAAAAATATTTTCGAAATAAAAATATTTTATAAATGCAACAACAAAACGGGATTCATTGCATTTATGTAGATTAAAAAAGAAGGTAAAATGTCCTCTGATACATTTACAATTTTAAAATACAAATTATTAAAAATTTTATATTGTAAACAATATTTATAATTAAAGAGCAATATTCAACATTCCATCTCATCACACGTTAAGGACTTAAGGCCTCATGAGTTGCTAACTCTATATATAGCTACATACAATTGCCAATATACAAATCATTGATTTGGTCAACTAAATAAGTGTTGGTGCCAAAATAGTACTACCATTAAGGGTGTTTAAATCAAAATTACTAGAATGAAACGTAGAAAACGTACTATCAACAATTGTTTCAATTGGATCCTCTCGCGACATTAGTATATTTCCAGTCGGAATTTGTATATCTATGATCCATCATTCGATCCGCCAACCTCTCAATCACGCACATCATTAATCCACTTTGCGAATGAATCAAGTTCTGAAAAGTTATCCACTGCGTCCATGCTTTGTAATATGAGATTTTTAATCAACTGAAGCACTTTATAACTACTCCACAAATACAATGAGTTCATGCTAGAAGCAACAATATCTTGCAGGGACAGAGCCAGGGGGGCAGCTGCCCCCCTCACCCCACCCCACCCCCACCCCCACCCCATATAGTCTTTGTATGTATATATGCATGTATATATAGTACACGTTTTAGTATTAGTATAAAAAAATTATAAAATGTTAACAAGAATGAGTTAGATTAGGTGATAGAGCATATATTTGGCAATAGAGAAGTCAAGGGTTCAAATCTTGGTATTGACATAGTTTTACAATTCATTAATTATGTTTCATATTTTGTTATGAATATTATATTTTTATAAAGTTTCGATGTGTTTTATTTTTCGTCCATATCCAACAATATTTATAACTATATTTCTTAAGTAATTTATTTATTTATTTTTAAATTATCTCTTTTGTTTTAATGTTTCGCCTTTACTGGAAAAAATTTCTAAATCCGTATGTACTGTTTCGCCCCCCCTCAACCAAATTTCTAGCTCCGTCCTTGATATCTTGTATTGATCCATTTGGTATGATATATAGTATTTGTCTAAAATACCTACCAGGCCACCAATCATGATAGTTTTTCCTCCAAATGTCATACTCGAACTTGATAGATTAGTAAATATTAACAAATCTCTTATTGTCATGTTCAACGCTTCAAAGTAATGTTTATGCATCATAGGTGTCTCATCTCAATCCCCAAATGACCCATTTGCACTTTATAGTCAATTCAGCAAGATCACTGCTTGTGAGATATTACATGTTGAATCCTCATGTAAATTTTTTGGTATGGCAAACTAAGAATGTGTGGTTTGACCATATGGCTTAAGTAGAGAGGCAATACCATTGGAAGCAACATTGAGCACTTACATTTTACCCCATATTTAATCTCATTTTCAAGTTCCAAAATGTAGATATTATGTATGTTAAAAGATCTCTTATTTGTTTTGTTTGTGCATTTAGGTACAATACCTCTCACTTGAAGAAAAAAGGAGTATTTTCATTCATTTTAGAGATTATTGGAGTCAACTGGATCATTCTAGATGTATTTGGAGTCAATGGGAGCCAATTTGAAGCTAAAGAGATGGCTAAAATACTTCCAAGAGAACCAATGAATGATGTTTTCAATGGTCTTGGTCATTTGGCCAAACCAAGGCAAAAGTATAGCAAAAGATCAAGGTATTGCAATTCTCGCACAACATGTTGGCGTCTTAATTAGTATTTTGACCATATCTCATCAGCATGGGAATGTCCAAATCAAGTGATTTCTACGCCATTGGAAAGAAAACTCAAAGTGTTACAACGTTTATGAAACTATCCAGCATCATTCAATTCTGACTTTAGATTGGTCAAAAATAGCAACAAAGTCATTTTGTCAGAAAATTTCACAAGGAGAGGGGTACCTCACAGAGTCATAGGCACTACTCTCTGAAGTAGGTTTTTTTATTTTTTTATTTTTTATTTTTTTTATTTTTTTTGGGTACACGGGCGGGTGTATGCCCGTGGGGCTACCCCTATTCACTTTTTAAGCCTGTTTTCACCCATTTTTACTTGGTTCTAACCCTCGGCCTATTCGAACCCTAGTCAATTTTCTTCATTTCCTTTCATATTTTAGGTTAGATTAGGTGTAGATTTAGGTTCTTTATCATATTGGAAGCTTGTATTGAAGAATTCATGCTTGGATTTCAATACTTTACCATCCATTTCAATAAATAAGTTCTATTTCCCTTTTGTCTCTTTATTTTGCAATGTTTAATTATGTTTTATTAGCTTATTTTGTTTATTGGACATTTTTTAAATTGCACACCATGCATGTTTACAACTAGTATAATGAGGTAGTGGAATGATTGAGATCACATTTTTCTTCCTATGAAATGGTGTGTGGTATGGGTTTTCGTAGATTATAGGACTTTAACATTACCATGTTAAGTAAACAATCTTGGCGAATTATCCAACTCCCTGATTCATTGGTTGCAAGGCTCTTCAATGCTAGATACTTTCCAAAGTCTTTTTTCTTATAGCACTAAACCATCTTTTATCTGGACAAGTTTAATGGAAACCCAAGATGTCAAAAGGAGGAACTCTAGTTGGAAAGTGGGTGATGGGAAACATATTCAAATTTGGCAGGACAGTTGGTTTCTAGATGAGGAAAATGCTAAGGTGCTTGCTTTCTTGTATCCCCCACTTGAGCATGTTAATGTTTCCTCTCTTTTTAATATGCAAGGATAAGCATGTTATCAAAGAAATTTGTAACCAACATGGTTGGCATGGTGGTTCAACACCTCATCCTTTAAGCATGAGGTTGGGGGTTCGATCCCTAGATGGAGGATTAGTCTTCTGGCTATCGGCAAATTCATTGTAGCTAAAATTTGCAAGACAGTTGATGTTGTAGAGCCATGAGGGAATTGAAAGAACAAGTAAAGATGTGGTTGATATGATGAACCAATGTATATTTGTTGCTCATTTCATTTTATAGGCAAACTTGAAGCCTAACAACGCCAAAATATAATCAACTCTTACCGGTTAAGTAAAATTAGGACCAACCTAATAAAAATAGGACAAAGAAAAAAAAAATTGAGCAATTAATTTCTCATATCACTTTATTTTTCTTATAATGTACATTCAATTGCCATAAATCATGGGAGAGTACGACATATTTTTTTTTGAGCAAAGAATAGTCTTTGGGTACGACATATGTTCATCAAATTTCCAATAGAAACTTTGAGCAAAGAATAGCCTTTGGGTAATATCTATAAATAACACACATGCCCGGTCCTATCATTTTATAAGTTCGGGGCATGACGAAAAAAATAGGCCATACCTAAAGTTAACATATAATTTTATACCTAAATTTTAAATTACATAAAGAAAAACAATACTAATATCAAATAACTTGAATAAGATTCACAAGTTTTTAAGAATTTTACATACACATGCAACAATAATTATGAAAAAAAAAATTATACGGAGTAGATGCTTTTCTAAATATAAAATAATCAATAATTGCATCAGTGTTTTCATAAATAAATAATTACTGTATAATTTATATAACAAAAAAGAATAAACAATTTAAAATTAAATAAACTTACAAACAATAACATTGTTATCATTTATAAATAATAACTCAATTATTAATAAAAATTTATAAAACAAAACTTATAAAAGTTGATGGAGCTAAAAACTTTTTAACTAAGAGTGAAAAATCAAAATATTTTAAAACGCGATAAAAAATATTCATAATAAAATATGAAACATAATTAATTGGATAAAATAGTTTGAATATAAAATACATTATAAATCACACACTTTTTATATTGATAAGACATTGACTAGCTTAAATGATTCATTACAAAAAGTTTTGAACCCATAACCTTTATAATAATAGAAACAACTTTATCTACCAACTAAACTACATTGTCTTTATATAAAATTTGTGTATATCATTTACTTATATATACTTATACATATACTATATACACATATGTAGAGGGTGGGGTGTGCCCCCTCCCAACATGGGTCCTGGGCAAGGGTCAAGCCTGGCTAAAAACACTGCCTAGTAAAGAGGGATATGATCTATAGTCCAAAAGAGACTGAGACTCTTGATGTCGTGAGGCATTGAGTTGGATCAAGGTCAAAGGCCTTGATTTTGTGCAAATTAAAATTGATTGCTTCCAAGTTATACAAGGTTTTAGGGCGAACAATTGGAGTTCTTACTTGACGTGCTTTTGTTTGATATCAAAGAAATAATAAGTACGCCTGGATGCTTAATGTAGATAGTAGCTACAAGGGGGTCACCAATAATATATTTGAGTAAAATATATTATTATCTCTTTTTTTTTTTCGATTACAAAGGAGGGGGACCCCAGGTTAATGCAGTTTACATAGCAGTGACCACTCGATGTGTGACGGGGATACCCATCATGTCGTCGTCGATAAAATTCACTAAACCCCGAGGTGGGGGTGGGGGGAGGGGGGGGGGGGGAGATGTGTTCTTTCCAACTATCATCTAGGCGGGCACCAATGCCGGCAAGTCAGTCTACAACATAATTTTGCTCACGCCAAATAGCTCTGAACTGTATCCTTGAAAATCGTCCTTGCCCCAGTTTTATTTCCTTAATGGTTTCATACATTAGCCCCCTGAGCGTGTTGTGCTCTTCAACCCACTTGAGCACATCCCATGCATCAAAGAAATAATAATATATTTTACACTTTTTTTTTAATGTTTATTAAGCGATATACAAATGTTGATATATTAATTTAAAAGTATATTTCTATGTCAGGTTGCATGAAGTGACGTGATCATCGCGATCTCATTTGTAATAGTTTAAATTTAGATTTACACTAATGCATGTCTTTATAGCTCCAACACAAATACACAATTTTAGTGGCAGAGTGGGTTGATTCACACCAACCAAAAAAAAAAAAAAGGCCTTACGTGTCCATTCATGAATGGATCATAATTCATACAGAGTATCACTGATGCACCAGTACTCCACCACTCCCAATCTTTCACTGTTTTGATACTCTTGTCTCCTCATCACAACGCCTACAACGATTAACCGCCACAGAAGAGAGCAGCCCCCACTCTTTTCTCATTTTCTGTACCGGAAAACACTATTTTGGTTTCAACGCAATTTCTCGCTCTTAAACTGCAGTTGAATCACTCACTCACACCCACACATTCACAGCGCAAATTTCTGCAAGCCGATGCATCAGAGAGGGAGAGTGAAAGACCATAGATCCAGGACCTTTTCTAGATCTCGCATCGCAATCCAAGGCCGATAGCCCCATTTCTTCTCCTAATTTGCAACTACCTACATTCTCATTTCTCTATAAGTTTGCTCAATCCATCTCCAGTATCATCAAAGTTTCATTGTTTAATCTATAATCTACAATCTATAATCTATAATCATGGCTGCCATTACTCAAGGTATTATTGTGTTTACGTCTTTTGTTTTGTTTTTGGATTTATGTTTGGTTTTGGTTTTGAGTTTTGATTCAATGCGGTTGTGTTTAGCAGAAGAACGCGAGATCCAGAAGAATTACTGGATGGAGCACTCCGCTGATCTTACGGTGGAGGCTATGATGCTCGACTCTAAGGCTGTTGATCTTGACAAAGAAGAGAGACCTGAAGTATGTTTTTTACTGTCTTTATACAACTTTTACTGTGATTGTTTTGTACATATTTGTTGTTTTTCTTTGAGTCAAATGAGTTGAGTCTCATTATGGTTTCATGTCCAGGTGCTTGCACTGCTTCCCCCATACGAAGGGAAATCAGTGTTGGAGCTAGGTGCTGGTATTGGCCGTTTCACTGGTGAATTAGCCAAGAAAGCTGGGCAACTTATAGCATTGGACTTCATTGAAAGTGCAATCAAGAAGGTTTATGACACTTGTTTTGAGGATTACCTTTCTTTCTCTGCACATTTTCTCTCTTTATGTTTTTGCTTACTTTTGAATGTTTGTACTTTGCAGAATGAAGTCATCAATGGGCACTATAAAAATGTCAAGTTTATGTGTGCTGATGTGACCTCTCCAGATTTGAACTTCTCTGATGAGTCACTGGACTTGATATTCTCAAATTGGTTACTGATGTATCTTTCTGACAATGAGGTGAGCTTTTCAAGTCTTCTACTTTGAAGTTTCTATAGCTTTGCCTGCTATATGAAAATTGATGAGTTACTCAAGCTATTGCAATATGAACTATTGATAGAACAGACATCATAGTTACATGTTTATCACTTGGTTTGCAAATTTGGCAAATTAAGGTTCAACTCCCTTGCTGGTTCTAGTGGGGGGTCACCTTCCTCCACTTTCCTCAAACTTGTCTTGATTCTTGAATTTGTCATTTTCCGTTGATTTTTAGGTGAAATATGTTCATCCATCTTCTTGCTTGTAGGTTGTGAAGCTAGTAGAGAGAATGGTCAGATGGTTGAAAGTTGGAGGGCACATATATTTCAGAGAATCATGCTTCCATCAATCTGGAGACCACAAGAGAAAGAACAACCCAACTCACTATCGAGAACCTAGATATTATACTAAGGTGCAAACTTTGTTACTTTTCAACTCAACCCTAATTGATGTTTGTCCTTTCAAAAACCCACTTGAGTTTCTGTGGATGTTTTGCCCTAGACTGATCTATGCAAAGTACAGGTTTTCAAAGAATGCCAATTGAATGCTGGAAAAGGGAAGTCTTTTGAACTCTCTCTTATTGGTTGTAAGTGCATTGGAGCTTATGTACGAAACAAGAAGAATCAAAATCAGGTGAAGTTTTACTGCTGCATATGCCATCTGTCATTGCTTTTTGTTTTTTTCAATCAGATCAACAATAAATTCATTCTGTGGTGCTTTGACCTTGCAGATTTGCTGGACATGGCAGAAAGTTAGTTCGGAAGATGACAGAGGATTCCAGAAGTTCTTGGACACTGTCCAATATAATTGCAGTGGCATTTTACGATATGAGCGAGTCTTTGGACAAGGCTATGTGAGCACAGGAGGGCTTGGTATGGATTGTGAATCACACATCTTGTGCATATAAGAATTATATATGTTGTTTGCTTCTCTGATTTTGTTGTCTCTGTTCTTGAACAGAGACAACTAAAGAATTTGTTGCCAAATTGGATCTCCAGCCGGGGCAAAAGGTCCTAGATGTTGGCTGTGGTATTGGAGGAGGTGATTTCTACATGGCTGAGAACTACGAGGTTCATGTTGTTGGCATTGACCTCTCTATTAACATGATCTCATTCGCTATCGAACGTGCTATTGGCCTCAAATGCACCGTTGAGTTTGAGGTTGCTGATTGCACCAGGAAATCATACCCTGATGGCTCATTGGATGTGATTTACAGCCGTGACACCTTTCTTCACATTCATGTATTAACTCTTGTTCCATGGACACCTTTAATCTTCGTTTAAACTCTATTTATGTACACTTATGGGGGTCGCTTCTATTTTTTTCAGGACAAACCTGCACTTTTCAAGTCTTTCTACAGGTGGCTGAAGCCAGGGGGTAAACTCCTCATTACTGATTACTGCAAAGCAGCTGGAACTCCATCACAAGAATTTGCCGAGTATATTAAACACAGAGGATATGATTTACACGATGTAGCAGCATATGGCCAGGTATTCATAGAAATTGTCATCGTCTTCTGGGCATTAATATCCGTTTATTCTTTTAACATTACATTAAAACCGTGCAAAAAAACAGATGATCAAGGATGCTGGGTTCAATGACGTCATTGCTGAGGATCGATCTCATCAGGTGTTTGTTAATTCTTACATATGACAAAATGATTTTTATCCGGGCTATGTGATCTAACACGTTTGTTTACAGTTCATGAACGTGCTCCAGAAGGAGTTAGACACCGTGGAGAAGGAAAAAGAAGCATTTATCCAAGACTTCTCAGAAGTATGCTCCCTCATCTGCTATATGTGTGTGTGTGTGTTTTCACTACATGGGATGGGACTAATCTTTCTTACGACGAATGTGCAGGAGGACTACAATGATATCGTTGATGGGTGGAGGGCGAAGCTGGCGAGATCTTCATCCGGGGAGCAGAGATGGGGCTTGTTCATTGCCAAGAAGTGAAGTGATGTCTTCTGAAATGAACATTATGACAACAAGCAACAACATATGGGCTTAGTATTGATGAAACCTCCTAGTGTCGTTTTCAATAATTTGGGTGAATGTTTTGCTATGTAATAATGGCACCATATGTTGTATAAGTTGGTATCTTCCCATGATAATAATGTGTTATGTTGAAGACTGAAATCCAGTTTGTTTTAATGATCATTTCTTTTACTATACTGCCAGTGATTTTAATCTTGTTCCTTATTTAACATTTTTCCGTAATGACAATATTATTTTCTCTATGACAACCTCAACCCCAAGTAAAGTGCAATTTATACTAGTTTAATCAATACACATCAGGATAATAATTGAAGTTTCTCTCGATACCCGAAAAATATTATTTTCTCTCCCATGTTAAGTAAAAATAGTAACCAATAACAACGAGATTTAAAAAGAATAATTTCATACTTTCTGCCAACATTAGAATTTCAAACTTTCTGCCAAAAAAGAATTTGTTTTGGACAAAAATTCTAAGGAAAGATTTCAAAATAGATTAAGGAAAAACAGTTTTTCCTAATTTTTTTTAAATGCAAAATCTCCTATCTAGACGGAGCAGATTTTCTTAGTAACAATCAATCAATTACTTAATTAATATTATATTTTTTTTTTCTCATAAGTAGCTCTTAACCCCTAAATAATTTAAAAGTATTATAATTTTTTTTTTATTAAAAATTATAGCATCTTTAATAAGCTATAAAAATATTAATCTGCCCCCTGCCCCTCATCTGAAGGTTGCGAAAGGGCTTTCTTTAGTTTTAGGTCCCAGCCACTCGGTCAAGGAACTCAAACTCATAAGGCCAAACTCATAAGTCCTTTATCATCAATTTATGACATTCATTAATTAAATAACAAAACTCGTTTGTTGTATATGATGTTCGAAATCGCTTATGTTTTGAGTATTGGCACTTTTATCGTCCTTGTTATTGAGCTGAAACCTCCAATTCTTTGGATACTCGCCATTATTATTGAGCTGAAACCTCGAATTCTTTGGATACTCGCCATACTGTTACGGGAAGCGACATAGCAGTCGGCTAGTGCCCGTTCTTGCCCATTTCCTCAGCGCAGCCCCTTCCCCTAAAAAAATGTCCGGGGGTTAGAGAAAGTATAAGGGGTGGCACTCTCGAAGCTTCCCAGGACTTCACATGGAAAACGAGTATTCATTGAGTTGCATTTCATACTTTCTCTATCTGTTGCAGGCAAGAGTCAATAATTTGTCCCGTCCTTGACACTTGGCAACAAATAGAGAAAATATAGAACATATAATTTGTCCCGTCCTTGACACTTGGACTGATAGAGAAAGTATAGAACATATAATTTGCCCCGTCCTTGACGCGATACCCGTCTCCAAATAATTATTATAATTTAAAAATAATATATGTATACACATGATTATTTTAACTTTAGAAATTAGGACTTTTGAAACAAACGTGGCATTAGTTATACTTCTTGAAAGTACCTCTAACATTTTTCATATTTGGCTTATTTTATTTATTTATTTATTTATTTTTTAACTCTTGCAAGCAACAAAAAAAAAAAAAAAAAAAACAATGAATATAAGTATTTGAGGCCAACAGTTTCAATCCCAAACAACCGTCACCAAACGACCTCAGATTGTAAATTTAGCCTTCTATTCTGCATCGTCTTCGTCTTCGTCTTCTCTTCATTAACGTTACCAGCATTTGGGTAAAATGTACCGAGCGAGCGTGAGGAATTAGCGTTCCACTGATCTTGATTCTTGAATAAAACAATAATCGCAAGCAATCCGATTCCTCATGGCTCACTGGATCTCCTCCAAGCTCAAAGCTGCCGAGAATATCCTCCAGCAGGTACCGTCTATCCACATTCATGTATATTTACTGCAATTCTTTTTCTAAGAATTAGATTAGATTCGTTTTACGCTCGCTCTTACTGTTGCTCAGTCAGTAGGAATTTAAGTATGTTTATTGTTCTTGATTTGTTTCTGGACGGCTTAGATTGATCAGCAAGCAGCTGAATCACTTAAGAAGGGCGAAAAGGCCCGATCTGATGGGTTAGATCTTGAAATCTCGGCTATACCCAGTGAGAGTAAGCCATTGAAGGACCAGCTAAAAAAGAAAATACCAGAAAGCAAGGATTTTGCTGGAAAATTACGGGAGGATCGGAATTTGAATGCGGTTAGCAGTGAGAATAGTAAGAATTACGGCGTTTCCAATTATAAAAAGGAGAAGGAGGTTGTTACACCAGCAAGTTTGAGCCCTAAGCCGCCGGGTACTAATACTAGTACCCTTACGGATACTGATTGGACGGAATTGCTGAGTGTTCCGAATAAAACCCCCACACTGGGCACTGCTCGCATTAGCAATAGAGCGGGAGGGGTTCGGGGTTTGAAGAAGGACAGTAGGATTCAAGGGAGTTTGGGTTCTGGTTCCAGTTTGTTGGCATTAGGTGAGAAAAAGAGCCTGAAGTTTCATAATAATGTTCCAAAGAGTTCGAGTGAGCCAGATGGTCAATTAGGGAATAAGGGGAATGATAGTGCGCGGGATGGGAGATTTAGTGATGGGGTAAATGTGTCGTCAAGAAGCTCAAGCCCGGAATTAAAAAGTGATGGAGACAGTTCAGAAAAAGGTCATTCTGATGGAAGGAATGAGGCTTCGAACCTTTTGCATGGGAACAATGATGAAAAGAGTACAGCAATGGATCAGCATGTGGATGTTATAAAGGATGGAGATGTTGGATGGGATAAGGGCTCCCCTATTGGGATGGAGTCTGCCACTATTAATGGGCAGTTGGATCTAAAGACGCAGACAAACGATAATCAGAGGTTTAAAAATGGCCCTACAGTGGGTTCTCAAAGTTCTCTGAAGATAAACTCTTCTTCACCAAGTGATGGAGAATCAGACTCTGAGACGGATTCAACATCTTCATCAGGAAGCGAACATGAAAGAGAAGAAAGGAGAAAAAGAAGGCAGCAGATTCTGGCAGAAAAAGCGGCTGCAAAAGCAATTGAAGCAATAAGAGAGCGTGAGGATATGGTAGCTAAATTGGAAGGGGAGAAGCAGAGTTTAGAAAAAATACTTGAAGTGCGGGCCAAGCAACAAGCACAAGAGGTAAGCATAGGGTCTAGCTGACTCAATAATTTCTTTCCAGCTTCTAATTGTAAGTCACTGAGTTGAGGTTTATCAGTTTATGTAATATTTTGGAAGAAGATTGAATGAACTTGTTATATAATCTCCTCAACTAGAAAACTTTTCCCCAGTGAAGCTCTGTTTCTTAAGCTTATCTATGGAGCCTTGACATGTAGACTATTACTTTTTCGTATGTCTTTATTTTTGTAATATTAGTGTTCCTCTGTAACTAAGGTCATATTACTTAGTCAGCATCAGTTAACCTTACAAAAAGATTGCCACCCATATCAATTGCTTTGAGTATTCTTTAAACAATTTGCTTTGCTATTGTACAATGGGAAACATATTGGAACTTTAAACATTGGGATTTGGGAAAGAGTTATATTTGAGGAAAACTGATTGATCATTTGCAAGGTAACCTATTTCATACTGATCATTCTCTTCACTAACCTAAATTTTATTCTTTTCATCACAACCACTTTCTTTGAGAACTTAATTTCTGTTTATTGCTCAATATCCTTGACAATGTCTAGTTATTCTATCAATTTTTTTCTCTGTAATAACTAGTTGTTCTTTTCTAGGCTTCTGAATTACAGACAAAAATGATGGAAACATTGGAAGCTGTTGAGTTAGAGAAGCAAAAACACAACAGCACTAGAATGGAAACCCTGACACGACTAGCAAAACTTGAGGTAATTCCAGATAATTTTTTAAGCTGTTTTGCCTCTATTTACTCTTCTTTTCTTGGTTTCTAGACGTGGATTTTCTAGTTCAAATGTTAAAATTAATTTAAATTTGGAAGGCTGGGATCTAATTCACATGTGACACCTTGCAGACGGCTAATGCGGAGCTTGCAAAGTCACTTGCTACTGCACAATGGAATCTTGAAGTAGAGGTACAATATGAAAAAGCTGACTCCAACTATATGTGGTGTTTCAAAATACCATTTATTGTTGACTATTTGTCTATTTGAATAATCTGGAGTATATCTTTGTTTAGCTACTTAGCACCCTGATATAATTGGCCCCTCATTTTCCTTCTTTCTTCTGGGGTGTAGAATCTTTTATGGATTACACTTACCTTAAGACACATGTCGTGCTTTTTTCTTTATATTAATCTCCCTTGTGTGGTGAATCAGTGAGGATTTGAGTTTTCTTTTTTGGTTGGGGGGTGGAGGTGGGGGTGAGGGTGATGAAAATTAAATGGTGATGTTCACATAATCACATGCTATCTATTATTCCGAGGAAGGGTGACCAAAGCATCATGTTTTGTTCAATGTATGTGCTCATTTGATGCATGTGTTGTGTTTAACTTTGTTCCCTTTTTTCTACTTGGATCATTCCATAGTAATTTCTTTTTCAGTTTATTTAAGTATACATATTTTACTTGTTGATTATCTCATGTATGTTTTTTTTTTTTTTTTTTCTTTGGCACTTAGGTTAATCGTGTTACTGAACTTCGTGAACAAGTTGAGCTGAAAGAAGCAGCTCAAGAAGGTATAACCTTTAAGGTTCTGTTTGAATTTTACATAACAAAAAATGCTTGTTAAAGCTTTAAAGATACATTATGCATTTTGGTATTATTCATATATATTAAAATATGTGGAATTACTTGGACTTTCAATCTTGGGCTATTGTGCAAGGTGAAATAAGGTCTATAAATGGTTTGCATTAATACTCCGTATTCTTTTGGGCTCAAGTGGTTCCGAATGTGTTTGCTTTGTTGTTATCTGCTCACAGTGACACAGTTCACAAGAAACTAATTATTTCATCCTAAAAGTCAGTTCAGTTGGTTTCATTAGGATTCAAATAGGAATTTAGAATCTTTAAGAAATGAATTCGATCTATTACCAATTAAAGATTTGTTTTCCTGTTGTAGAACTAAGAAGGAAGATTTCTCAAACTAAAGAAAGTGGAGATAAAGTAAGTAATTTCTGTGCTTTCAAGTAGTAAATGGAGTAAGATTTGTTTTGTAATATCAACTTACTGCGCTTTTTGTTTATGGAAACAACTTGTAGTTGGTTGCATCAAAAGGAGTTGAATTTGAACGGGAGATACTTGAGGCGGAGTACTCTTTCTTAACAGATAAAGTGGGCATATTGCAAGAAAAGGTGCACTGACTTTTCGTGAAAAGTATGACCTTATAAAATGAACGTATTTTGAGATAAACATCCTCCTGATAGAGAACTTTTTTGCCAAATCCGTTAGAACTGGTACCAAGTCACTTTATGTTATTATGTGATTTAGTATAACCTTGTGAGTTGTGACAATGATTATATTAGTAATTTTAATCAGCTTTGATTTGTGTATGTTACTGAAACTAATTTATTACCTTTTAAACTTGATTCAACATAGGCAAAGACACTGGAAACGAGCATTGATACAACTAAGAGAGAACTGGAGAGTCCTACTGAAGTGGAAGTTGAGCTAAAGCGTAGGCTTGGTCAATTGACTGACCATTTGATTCAGAAACAGGCCCAGGTTTGAATTCCAAACATCCATCATTCAATCTGTAACTGAAACCCTTGGTTGCTGTGAAATTGTTTTGAAATGGCAGAGTTTAATCAGAAGAACGCATTATATTTAGTCTTTATTTAAGTTGGTGGATGGAAAGTGGTTCCTCAAGTGTATTTATCAGAGCATTTACAAAGATCTTAATAGCCATTAATAGCCATTTATGTTCAAATAAAATGAACATTTCCCCTTTCTTCTTTCCAAAAGGTTGAACCCCAACCCTAAGGGCCCCCCACACCCCGGCCCGACAGAGCATCTGGGAGGATGTAAATCATGGTAACTCACCGCACAAGGAGCCCCCCTCACTTTGAGAGGTTGCTCCCACACTGCCGCTGGTGAGACTCGATCCCATGTCATTCTTTCCAACTTTCACCTCTATGACCAGTTGAGCTGCCCATGCGGGCACATTTCCCCTTTCTTTGGTATACATCTGCTTGTTTACTATGAGTTTGAAGTTACATTCGTTTTTGTTGGATGAGCGAAATGCCAAACTGACAAATAAATCGAACATCTCTCTCATTCTTTCAGGTTGAGTCACTCTCCTCTCAGAAGGCGACACTATTGTTTAAAATCGAGGCAAGTCATCAATCATTCTTGAAGTACATTTTTCATCTCCCGTAACTTTAAAACTAAACCTTGGTCATGGTTTCATCTATCTAGGCTGTTTCAAGGACACTGGACGAAAACAAGTCAATGCTGGATTCAGCCGACATTCCTAGTACCTCATCAACCAGCGATTTGGAGTCGGGCGATTGGAGCCTTCGAAATCCAAAACTGAAGTCTCCATTCGAGGAAAGAATGCATTCAGGTCAGCAACATTTCTGGTCATTGGTTTGGCAACTAGACTCCATCTTTTCTGCAGGCGCCGTTTTCCTGAGACGAAACTCGCAGGCGAGAATATGGTCGCTCGTTTACCTCGCCTGTCTTCACCTCTGGGTCATGTACATTTTAAGGTCTAATTCTTCAGTGTCTGAAGTGGCCACTGGTGCTGCAGTTTCCCTGGAGAATATCAATAACACTGCAAGGATCTAATTTGTTTTGTTTGTGGCTGGGTGGATTTATGTCAATTTCACCTCATTTTGATGTAATAATAGGTGTTTGGTTATCAGTTATTGGCAAAGTATTATACACAGTTATATAGAAAATTATATAAATGCTGGTATCATAAGCATGAGGTCTGGAGTTTGGCCAAGGCTTAACTGGATTAGTTTCATGCAAATAGTAGTGCATTATGCAAAACAATAAAAATTAAAAAAAAAAAAATCAAAAATCAGAAATGAAAAAATCTTCATCACTTCGTGTAGTACAAAATATTTTTAATTAAGTTATGCTTTTTATTAATTTATTTTGAAGAGAATTTGTTTAAAAATTTGCAAGAGTTTCATAGGTCGTTAGTAAAATAATGGGTGAATCAACGATTTGGTCCCTCATTTATTCGCGACTTGTCAATGTTGCCCCTGAATCACGTACTCATCGATTTAGTCCCCGAAAATAATTGTTTTTCGTCAAATCAATTCCTATGGCCGTATTCCGTCAAGTCTCAGGCCAGAGCTCCGATTTGCCCTGGGCATTTTGGTCTTTTCACTTCTTCTTCTTCATTAACTCCGACAAAGCTTCGCCGGAGAAGCTCAAGCTAGCCGGAGGGAGCTCCTAATTTCACGGTATGCTTTTCTTCCGTTAGAAGATTGATTTTCAGTCTCTGCTTCATGGCTATTTCACTTCAAAACAAAAAAACCATGTTTTTAAAAAATGCCCAGATGGTCATTGCCTGAAATTAAAGACTGCTTGGAAGAGGCCGGATTTCGCTGTGTCCACTTTTGGATGCGACAAATGCCAGACAGTGAAGATATCAAAAGCACATATGGATTTTCTGCAGGACAAGACATAAAATGTGAAGAGGTCACTAGCCTCCAACAACAGGATTCATGGAATGCATACATTGTAGGTGTTGCATGAAGTTATCATTGTCACTCAACATAGCAAAGAAGCTGAATACGGAGTAATTCTTTACAAGCATAAAAATATTTTTTTTTCCATTCCTTAGCATGCAATTTGAGAATCTCAGCAGCTCTCTCCTTGTTCTTCCCAACCCCACAATCCACTTGTATAACCAAACACAGCTTCGCCCCCACTCCCAGCTGCAACATCTCTTGCACCACACTGGGAGTAGCAGAGAACTTGGCGATGGAGTACAAGATCCTCAGACCTCTCTCATTCGCCACCTGCGACACCCTCAGGATTTTCCTCGACACCACCGCCAGCCCCGCCGCGCACCGGCAAAGCTGCTCCAGTACGCTCAGACTCCACTCGCAATATCGTTTCTCGTTCGTGTGCAGCAGTAGATCGATCAGCACGGTCGCCGCCCCGGCCTCCGCCGCCTTGATCCGGTTCCTCCCTCTCTGGCAAACGTTGGCCAGTAGGTGCAGCGCGGATTTGGAGGCCTTGCGGGAGAAATTGTCTCGCAAGATTTGGACAACTTGGTGGAAAAATGAGGGGTTTAAGTTTGTCGTGAGCTGTGATAACGAGGGGTTTAAGGTTGTGGTTTCGAGCATTGATTTGAGAAGCATCACTGCATTTCCGGCGTCGACTTGGCTTGCTGGAGGAGCTTTAGGATGTGAGACTTGGTCACCGGAGGCTTTGGGGTGGGGAAACACTCGACGCCGTGGGAGGCGTGGTGGGTGCACCACGACTGGATGACTCGCCGGAGAGTGACGTTTGGGGTCAACAACTCATCATCAGAAGTGAAGTTGACGTCGGTGACGATGGAATGAAGAAGAAGGCGTGAAAAGACCAAAATGTCCAGGGCAAATCGGAGCTCTCGCCTGAGACTTGACGGAATACGGCCATAGGGACTGATTTGACGAAAAACAATTATTTTCGGGGACTAAATTGATGAATATGTGATTCAGGGACAACATTGACAAGTCGCGAATAAGTGAGGGACCAAATCGTTGATTCACCCTAAAATAATTCACAAAGGGGTGTTTGGTTTAAAGTATGTTTTGATGTAATGTAACACTCTTGCTTTGGAAATCTCACATAATTTAAGAATGTGAGAAAATATTATTCCCATGAATGTTACCAAATATGAATTAAAGTTTTTTTTTTTTTTTTTTTTTTTTGGAATACTCAATGTAGTTTTTATTCTATACTCTCTCAAATATTTTGAGCTGATTGAATCTAAGTCTCCATTATCAGAATTTGAACTTATGACCATCCAAATGAAATGATAATTGGGATACCATCATACTACAAGGTAGTTGGTGAATTAAAGTATTTGATTTAAGTTATCTTATATAATAACTTAGGAGCATTCAAAAAAATATATATAATAACTTAGGAATGTGAATAATGTAATACAAAGTATCACATTTCCTTGCCCCAATTGAAGGGAAGGTAAGATTGGCAAATTAAATTGCGGAAAACTTGGTTTATTTTCATAATATTCATTCTATATGTTTATAAAAATAAAATGTAATGTACATAAAATTACATTACATGCACATCATATTTAATTAAGAACATTAATCATGTACTATGTTCATAATATTTGTTATATATAATCATAAACCTAAATCTTAATGTATATAAAAACTAAAATGCAAGTACATCATATCTATTTTCATTCATTTTGTAGTAGATCATAATGTTATTTCTATATGTTCATAAAAACATAGCTTTATTTATATAAACATTACACTAAAGTAATGACTTTATTTAACTATAGGTTTATTTAATTTTTTTTTAAATATATCAATATGGGTGTCATTTAAATGATCTCAACTAGAGTTTTTAATGATATATTTTTTGAGTTAATACCCAAAATCGTCCTCGACTATAGTGGTTTTTCTCAATTTCGTCCTAGACGACTTTGGTGACCTAATATCGTCTCAGACTTTTGTGTTTTGCTCAATTTAGTCCTCCATTTGTTATTCCGTCAAATCGGTGTTAAATAAAGGGACAATTCAGTAATGTCAATATTGATCTCTCTTTACTTTCAACTTGTGAAGTGCTAAATTCCTTTTTCTTGTACGAATTACACCCATAATTACTCCTGGACCTGCAAATCAAATTTTATATTCGTAGTTTTAGGAGTAGTTCTAGGAGTAATTCATAAAAAAAAAAGGGATTTCGCAGTTCACATGTCTATGAGTAAAGAGATGCCAATATTAAAATTACTGAATTGTCTATTTATTTAACACCAAATGGACAGAATAACAAATGAGGGACTAAATTGAGCAAAAACACAAAAGTCTGGGACTAAATTGAGCGAAACACAAAAGTCTGGGACGATATTAGGTCACCAAAGTCGTTTAGGACGAAATTGAGAAAAACCACTATAGTCGAGGACGATTTTGGGTATTAACTCTATATTTTTTGTATATTAATTTTATTTTGTACAAAAATAAAAAGAGAAAAATAAATTTAAAATTGAAAAAAATAAGGATGTATTGAGAGTATGTAACAACACCGTTCCACGATATAACTTTTGGGTAAGATTATTGTAGGGAATGTGACGTTTGCTTTTAGTTCATTTTTGATAATGTCCATGAGAATCACATTCCCTTCGCAATTACTTTTATAGTTTTATATATGAGATTTCTGAAATTGTTACATTATTTTAAAACATCCATTGAACCAAACACTTCCTAAATACTATATTTGAAAATCTCACATTTCTTACCCTGATTTCACTTCCCTTAGAACAAGCTAAGGGCATCTCAATCCCTTCCATTTTCTCTCCATTTTGTGAGCGTTAATCCTCCATATCATCTATTATTTTATTCACTTTACTATAATTTTTATTTCAAATTTATAATTATAATTTTAAATCAAAATAAATAACATAACATAATTTTTGAATTAAAAAATAAAATTTTAATAATTTAATTGAAACAAACAAAATCACATTAAATTCAATTATGAAGTAAATTAAATTAAAATACGAGAACATAAATAAAAATTACAAATACATGAAATTCAATGTGGAAATATCTTTTTCATGATATAGCTGTAAATCTTGTTTGGAAGTTCCTAGTTTGTTTTTGTTTGTTTGTTTTTTTTTTTTTTCTCCTTTTCTCTTAGCAGCGTTTTGCCTAGTAGGACGTGTGCAAACTTCAACGTCCTCAAAATCAACAATCTTGCTTTAGACACTTCAATCGTAGTAGACATGTATTGTTCAGATGACGACGTCTTCAATTTTTTAATTGTGCAGATACTAGAAGACACATTAGATTCAAAGATGGACAATTTTTAAACAAGTACCATACATGTTCATAAGGAAAGTGCAACATACACCTTATAATTGCTTTTATATTCTACATGAACGCTTACCAACACATCCTCGTCATTCACTTCGATTGGTTGACCTCTTTGTTCTTTTTTTTTTTTTTTTTTTTTTTTTTTTTTTTTAAGATTGAGTTGCAACCGGAAACCTTCTTTCTTATGTGATTAAAATTAAATGTGCTTTTACTTGTCAATTCTCGATATATTGTTCCTTCAGGACGATGGTCATTGTAGTACTTTGCAATAGGTTGCTAATAAGTATTTCCGAATTGATTAGTGTCTTTTTTTAAAAATTTTTGATAATTGTAAGCCACAAATTTGATAAAACAATGTCATCTTGAGAGGACCAAATTTGTTGTACACTCGCGTTGAGATGATTAGTCTTTAATTATTTTGGTAGTCGAGTATCATGAAGTATCAAATGTCAAATTATGTAAACTAGTTTGTGCACGTAAAGAATGAGGAAAATTGAGACATTTGAATGGGAGAGGGCGTATTTGTACTATTACTTCTTGGTCCATTAGAAATCCGGTTATAATTGGGAGGAGGATAATAGAAATTGGGAGAATAATATGGATCGATAATGAGGTGGGTGGATAATCATGATTAGGAGGTGTAGGAGGATATGATTATTGATAATTTGGATGTGGATATGGATAATATTGATTGAGATTATTTTGGACATTTAATTTTTTTTTATCCCTATGATTATTTGAAGAGATATTGAGATGAATTACAAATTGAGTGGATAAATTTTGATAGGAAATAGAAACAATTACTCCAGAAATCGAGGAAAAAAATCCTAGCGTTAATAATAATAATAAAATCAACCAAAAAAAAAAAAAAAACCTACCAATAGAAATACTTTGATATTACAATATTCATATTTTATAAAAATTATGTGAGATAATATGAACCTATTATCAACATTATCATTTTATCGTTTAGATTGTTCTTCATTGATCATCATTTAAACCTCATGCAGTTGAAATGAAAATAATTGACTGGAAACAACAATTGGTTAAAACTATATGCAAAATTTGGTTTTAATTTTCACTTTGAGCTCAATGCCCCAAAATGATTTGGTTTTGGAATATTTATCTTTAAGACTTTTTTAACATAAAATGCTGTTTTTAAGACATTTAATAATTTTTATGAGAAGACTAAGGTGTCAATCGGTATCATGTCTCTTATACAAATTTAGAGTCAAAAAGTGTGAAGATAATATTAACTTTAATTTGTACCTAATATAAACTCAAAACTATTTACTTTTAAATGATATCGAGTATAATCAACATCTTAGAAATTTTCTTAATTAATATTTATTCGTTCAAACTAAAAGTTTTAGGACCAATCTTAAATGAATACAATATATACATGAACGGTATATTAAAGAATCTCCAACCCCATGACCCCTCAAGCCCCAGCCCGACAGAAAATGAACACAGAATCTCCAACCCCAAGACCCCCAAGCCCGACAGAACATCTGGAAGGATTGTAACTTAGACGAACATAGAGTTCTACTGAATGTTCATAACCATATGCATACTGTAAGTAAATAGTACTTGTTACTGGGCTTAAACCAATGCACCCAAAATGGTTGGCTTTAGGCCTTGAACACAATGACACAATTCATCACAAGAGATAAAATCTGGAATGATAATACATGTCAACACACAGAAAGTGAAATTCAAACCTACACATCAAAAATTACCAAATTATGTTCTTCCACTAAAGACACTACAGATTACCATTATTTGGAGGGCTTTATCTCTGCACAGACAACATGTAAATTTAAACAATGTTAACACTACACAGCCTAAGCCAACCATTCCTTCTTACACGGGATTCGCATCGCCTGCTGCCAAAGCTTCAAGCTCCTGCAAGGCCGCTATTGCGGTCACTGGCATTGCTTCACTGTTTAAGCACGGTTTTATAATGCTAGCAGTCTCCATCACTTTCGTTTTCTGTCAAATGCATCAAAATCCATAGATGAATATTAGGGGCAGAAGCGGGTACACAAGATTAACGCAATTCTAGGATTTTGACTAACCAGGTTTTCAAATTTGATCTTAAGGTCCTGAAAAGCCGCCAACTGCTGAGAATCCAGAGCCTTAGCGGCTATCGGTGTTGCATCCTGTCACCGGCAAACATGGAGGCAGTTATTGAATAAGTAGTAGTTTGCAACCCAATAGGGAGTAGGGAAAATGGCATTTTCAATCCCTACCCGTGGGCAAATTTTTTGCAGAGTACATTTTAATATACTAAAGGTACATTATTTACGTATACTGAATGTACATTATTTGATAGCATACAAAATAATGTAGCTTCAATACTCAAATAATGTACTTTCAGTATACAAATAATATACCTTTAGTATATTAAAAATGTACTTTTTATTCATGGTCCATGGAATAATGATTGTATACCTGTGGCATAGAGTCAGTCCCTAAATTATTAGGGGTGTAAAATTAGTCCTTTAGTTTTTGCCCAAGTGACGTTTATAGTCTTGTCTAACAGAAATTGTTAACTGATTAACCGAAGGTGTGAACCGTAATCTGGCAAAAGATCTTTTTTTTTTGTAATTTGCATAGCCTTCTTCCTCCTGCAAAATGATTTGGTTGACCCACTTCATTCCCACCTAAAAAAGTGCAAGAACCAGTTCAATCTTGGACTGATTCTCACACTTTTTTAGCTGAGAATGAAGTGGGTTGACCAAATCATTTTGTAGGAGGAACAAGCCTATGCAAATAACCAAAAAGACTATACCAAATTAGGGCTCACACTTTTCTTTTTCTGAAAAAAGTTAACAATTTCTATCAGATGGGACTAAAAAGCCACTAGGGCTAAATCAGATGGACTAATTTTATACCTCTAATAACTTAGGGACTGATTCTAGTATTCTACACTACAGGTATAACTAAGAGACTAAAAATGCCATTTCCCCTATTAACTATAATAATAGTTGCATCATGTCAAAAAAAATAATAATAGTTGCATTGATAATAAGAGATTACAATCTTACAACACCAGATGTAACATGCAGTAACGATCACTTTTATGAGAGGGAAAAGGATATCATAACCATTAATCTATACTTCACAGCTTTGCTTAATGCTAAGTAAATTTACAACATTTCAAATCAGAGAACACAACAATAATAAGCTTTTTGGAAAAATTATTTACATGCTCTTTCCTAAATCTATAATTTTTCATCTTGAACTATGATTACAGAAGCTGACTAAATAGCTGGAAATAATCAGGATGTCTCGGTCTATAATGAAGGGAAGGAAAGATATGTATAATTAATAGCAGACATGCAAGCAGCGTGAAACCATATCGAACTAATTTCAGTGTGGTTCGTAATGACTTTCAAGCTCAGCCAATGACAAATCTTGAGAGCTAGAGCTCTTGCATTTATAAAGTTTTATCAGCCCAAAGGCCTAATAACAAGTAAACATGAATTATTAATCTTTTATTTAAAAACAAAAGAGCTTTTATTCTATAAAAGTCAAAACTACCTGAATAATAAATTGATATAAAAGATTACATTTTGCACAAGCATGGGGTTAAAAAAATAAAAACTCATCCAATAAAAATCTGAAAAAAAATAAAATAAAAATAAAGTTTAAGCTAAACTAGAGATACTCAGCATTCAGGTCATCACATACAATAATAGTGTGGTTAAAGCTACTCCCTCTTTTCCAGTCAAATTAAATTAGCTTTATAGATCATTATCTTTTATTTAAAAACAAAAGAGCTTTTATTCTATATAAAAGTCAAAACTACCCTGAATAATGAATTGATATAAAAGCTTACATTTTGCACAAGAATGGGTTAAAAAATAAAAACTCAATCCAATAAAAATCTGAAAAAAATAAAATAAAATAAAATAAAGGTTAAGCTAAACTAGAGATACTCAGCATTCAGGTCATCACAGACAATAATAGTGTGGTTAAAGCTTCTCCCTCTTTTCCAGTCAAATTAAATTAGGCTTATAGATAATATTAAAATTGGTTATAACTGGGAACAACGCTAAGTTTAGCAAGCTTATCCACAAACTTAAAAAACCTTTTTGAAATAGAAACTTCATTGGATAAAGAAATATTCTCTTATAAAAGCTACTAAGTGCACATAAGGTCCTTTTTATTGTGTTAGGATATAGATATAGATATATAATTCACCCTTTTTGGCACCGAAAACAGAGGATATAGAATTCATCTTATGTTTGATATTATTTTGAAGCATTAGATGACCACACTCTAATAGTTCCTAGTAACTGCATATTGTAAATTTAACATTATGGAAATGGGCAATAACACTAATCCTAAAAAGTTGAGAGATGAGAACATCCAGGCAGAAATCTCACTTAGCATATCATCATCACATATACATAAACAATGCTCTACTATAATGTTACTTAAGATTTATAATTCATGTTAAGTTTCCAGTAGAGATGCAGAACATTCATAAGTAAACTGCACTAAGGCTCTGTTTGACACAACTTGCTGAAAAGCTAATAGCTAATAAGTAAACTAATTGAAATTAAAAAGTTTCGTAAAATTAGCTATTTAAAAAGCTTATAATTGTAAAAAGACATAACAAGATAAATTGATATATTAGGGGGCCATTTACTAACTGGAAATTTCTAAAAATTTTCGGGAACTGGAAAACATGTTTACTAACACAATTGAAGCATGTGATCCATCTCAACGAAAAGCCTAAGCTAATAGTTGGATTGCACATTAATGATTATATGCTCAACAAACACAATTTTCCATTTTGAAAACTGAAAATAATTTCTGGAAATTTCTAGAAAACTGGAACACACTCAAAAACTGTTTTCGAAATGGAAAATAGAATCATCTATCATCTATTAAGTTATATGTCACTATAACCACATTACTATGATTACATTCATTATCATCTTATTTTACTTATCACTATCTTATATCTTTTTTACTTACTTTACTTATTTAAATATAATTTATTTGCTTACACTTTAAAGTTAAACATTATTTACATTATCAAAATTAAGAATTAAACTCTATATAATGTTTTAGATTTTGATTAAACTCAATAGATTATTAGTTTGAATATTTTTAATTATGTTACATCATAATACAAGTTCGGTCCAGATATCGGATATTGAAATCTCACATATATATTAGAATTCAAAGTAAAAGTAATATATTCATATACATGTCATTCAAATGAATATATCCAAAAAATATATTTTAAATATTAGCTCAACAAAATTAGAAAACAAAAAACAGAGAACAATTTTCTGTTAGTAAACAAGTTTTTTAAACAAAAAACAGAAAATGAAAACTGAAAAATTAAAAAACAGAGAACAGTTTTTGTTAGTAAACGGACCTTAGGGTATTGAGATTAACAAGAACAAGAAATAATACTATTGACAGAAAGTAAAGAATGCATGATTTAGGTGGGCAATAAGCTATACCAAAGGGTCCGAAAACTAGCATCCTATCAAGGCCATAACTTTCACATAAGCTCTAGGCTCTAGCAGAAAATGTGAAGAATTTTACCTTTCTTGGGCGACCAAGTGGCTTTCCACTGAGCTTTCTGGGCTTCCTGATCCCACCATTAACAGCAGACCTGGGAAGTTGTCCCCTTCGCATTGTAGGGCCTGCAGCAGTGCGAGTTGGCAGCTTAGGAGGACGACCTCGTCGTTTTGGAGGGAGCAATACTCCATTTGTAGCAGGAAAGGCTGCATTCCTCGCCTCACCATCAATAATGGGAACATTGATAGCTCCAACCGTAGCGCCGCCCATAAGCACAGTGTTTTTTGCCGGCCGGCCACGTGGCCTTCCGAGCTTCTTAGCAATGCCGACGGCGGCAATCGCCTTGGGTCGGCCTCGGCCTCTCAACTTCCCCATTCCGGTAGAAGGAGCGATTCTCTTAGGTCGACCTCTGGGCCTACCGGAAACACCTAACGCCGGCACAAATCCGGTCTTTGGAGGACGCCCCGGCCTCCTTCCTCCTCCATTCTGGTTCAAATTTTGCGGCGTCGGAAGAATTCCGGTGCTTTTTCCGTCGGAATTCAACTTCTTTGGCCGTCCACGGCCCCTCCGAGCCGGAACAGGAACAACGTTAGCCGCAGCGGCCGTAGAAACAGGAACCGCGGGCCCACCATCTAATCCAACCAAACCAAACACGGATTCTGCCGGGATATCCGCCGGCCCATCCGGAGCCCACGACTCGGGCTGGGCCTCGGATCTGCCTTTGGGAGGGCGACCGGGCTTTCTCTTCGAGCCGGGAGTAAAATCCGGTGGGGGAGGAGCAGATCCAGGGAGCATGTAAGAGTGCTTAACCATGACAAGCTCACCGCCGCTCTTCATGCGCTTGAGGTGCTGAGTCAACAAGGACGAGTGACCGGGTGGAAGATTCGAGTAGACTCGCTCTATGTACTTCGCTATGGCTCTGCTACTCGACCCGCCCGGCTCGTTTAACGCGGTTATCGCCGATGTTATCATCTGTTTCACACACCCAACAAGAACAATCAAATACTCTGAGGGGGGAAAAATCAAAAAATCAAAACTTAACAAGAATTGAGAGCAAATTGAGCTGCGAAAAACATGGTACCTCGGCGAAAGGTGGCTGGCTGTCGACAGGAGCAGCGGTGAGGTTAGCCATTTCAGCTACCACCGGAGCAGCAGCAGGCGGTGGTGAATCGGCGGCGCCGGCAAGTAGTAGTGGATCCGTTAAAGATAATAGTGGGTCCATTGAAGAGTGTTGTGATTGACACCTGTGGATATGTGTGTATATATATAGGGTGGATAAATTTAGGATTTTGGGTATCTAGGGATTTGAAATGGTAAGAAGAAAAAGAGAGAGTGAGATCTGGACAGTTCAAAATGCAGGCTCAATTATATTATTTGGACATCCACGATATGACGTCATTAATTAGTAATATTTATTTATTTTTTGATTAGTACTGACTATGTTATAATGTAGTATCTGTTCATAATTACTTTCTCAACCTACTAAAACACAAAGAGTCAAAATTATCTCTACTGAAAATTGAATCCATGACCTTTCATTTGGGAGAGTCACTTCTTGCCTAATAGTGATTATTTCCCGACTGTAGGTACGATGGTCGGCCGTGGATCCTTGATGATAGGCGGACTTGACCTGACCACATCTTGTAACTTCTCGACCTAAACTCTCACCCGACTTCTCGGGTGGGCACTCCCGCGGGTCTCCTGGAGAGCGATGTGTGAACCGACCTAATGAACTATCCTTGATATGGTCATATCTCCTCAAACATATTACGACATGTGCCTGCAACCCCTTTGTCCCTGGTCTAACCTTGTGTATAAGCACCACGTGCCCTCTATACCGAGGGCCCAGAGCATGTCTCCTCTCCTTCACTATAAATACCGCATTTATTACTGAATGACAGACTTTTCACCTACTTAAGAACTAGTACTATTTGTTCGGAGGCCACCGATCCACTGTCAGGAGTCCCGAGTTCGAGAACTTAACCCAACAAGCAAACAAGGAGAGAAACCCGACCCGGAACTGATCCTAGTATTATATTCGTAGTCATATCTGATAGTATATACTACACCAGTGCCACTAGACCACAAGAAATTTCATGCAAACTCAAACTTTCAATGCTCATAGAATTCTTACCTTCATACTTCTCATCGAGTAAGGGCAATGATAAGTGACAGTAATATTAATACCAGAATATGTTTAAGGAAGCAAGTAGATAGAAACAAGTAGAGTTTTGTTGCTATGGTTCTAAATACAAAATTTAGAGTATGTCCCGCACCTAGCACATGGGCCTAACTTTTATACTGGTGGATAACTACAAAACATGACGGTTATCCTTTACATAATAAAGCTATATGGTTTGGGAAATAATTAATGTTACAATTAATGCCACAACATCCTTTATTATAAAAAAAAAAAAAAAAACACAACATTTAAAAAATAAAATAGCAATATATTATATAATCATATAAAAAAATATACTTTTGAAAAATAAAATAGCTATATATTATATAATCATATAAAAAATGTGTCCAGTTAGAGTTTAAATTTACACATACAAAATTTGAAATTTGCTTTCCAAATGTAATTATCTTAGTTATTATTCGTATTGTGAAAATTATAATATAGATGAAATACAATTAAGAATAAATCAATGTAATTATGTAAATTCTCTCTATAAGTTTATTTGAATATGCACATAATTAGAGATTATATTAACCATACAAAATTATAATTTTAATATTAATTATAATTATAATTATAATTTTGTATTCGATAAAAATAATAAATACTTGACCAATGGAAGTTCAAAAATATTATTATATTAAATAATTTAAAATATTTTAGTTTTTCTATTTTTTTTATATTTATAATAACATAATTTTTTCCGTCCATCGCGCGGGTGAATTACTAGTAATAATAATAACAGCAACGACCTCCTAATAAGTGTGACGTTCTCCTCCATAAGTGCAATGTTCTTCTCCATATAAGTGCGCTGACCCTCCATAACTCCTGCTCTTTAATTTGATGAGGCGGTGCTATAATAAGTGGATTGTGCTCTACGTTAAGTGCACCGTTCCACATGCTCTTTGCTTGACTCTTAACCGTTACTATCTAATTGCATTAGTTGATTTGACTCCTTCATGTTACACCAAGAGCGTTCCGGGTCAGGTCCAGTACCTTGTCCTCCTGTCACCAACCCTCTACTCTCGAGCTGCAAGCACATCGAAATCAACTAAGGAGTAATAATAGTGCAGACTCATCAAATATCTCGTCACCAACTCCCTACTCCCAAACTACGAGCATAGAGGAGTTGCTAAGGAGTAATAATAATTTGACCTTCTAATAATAAAATAATTCTTTTAATTAATTATTTTTTTTTATTTTTATTTTTATTGACATTGGGCGGCCAAGGAAGGTCCTTTGCCCCTCCCCCTTGATTTATTTTTTTTGCTTTGCTTTTTATTTATATATTTATTTTCTTATCTTAATCGTTGCACATATAAGAGTTGGGATTCGAGTAGGCTGAGCGCGAGACTCGAACAAATTTTCAACTCCCTCTCCCACCTTCTTTTTCCACTCTTTTTTTTTTCAACCCGCTCCACGGTTCACGCCAAGATAAATCACACACTTCTAACTCGAATTATCATGATTTTGGACTTGGGTACATGTGCGTCAAAGATGTCATTGGGCAAATCTCCAAGTATTTCTCAATGGAATCCATTGCTCATTAGGTGTCGTAGGGGTCAAACCCTATGTTCTCGTTAGAGTTGTGTGTAATAGTGAGCCCCTAACCAACACTTTCAGTGCTCTCGTAGCTAAGTGACCATAACATCCGTCGGATGGGCGAGGTCTGACCGCCCACACAATTAGGGCATGATGATTTTTTTGGATGAGAATGGTCGAGACAGGGCATCGACCGTTGTAATCTTTCAAGACTTGAATTAAAATGGAAGTGACGTATTTTGTTTCTAGATGAAAATATTAATCTAGACGGCCCATGATCAATAGTTACACAAATCTTGCTATGGATCTTCTACTTCTTAGTGGATGGTTTGTTTTTTGTTTTTTTTTTTTGTTTATATATATATATATATATATATATATATATATATATATATATATATATATATATTATGCGGGTTCATCTTCTAACTCCTTGTCTCATCTCTGCGATCTTGTCATACTCTTTCTTTTTTGTGCCAAAATCGGATGGCTCGGGGCACTCGCTCTTTCACCACACATTATTGGGTTAGCCTTGTTGCTGATGTTGTTGTTGTTACCCTAACTAGGCGCTTCACAAATTAACTAAAATATCCCCTCTGAATGAGCTCATCTACTTGTCTCTTCATAATGTGACACTCGTCAGTGTCGTGCCCAACTTGTCGATGGAACCAGCAGTATTTAGTTTGGTTTACCTTCGGAGAGACTTTCATGCATTCCTTTAGAAATTGCATAATAAGTGCATTCATGTCCATGTTTTTACACCATATATAGACATATTTTGATTGAAAAATATTTTGGCTTTAGGAAAAATTTGTTTTAATTCATTTGTTTATATCGTATGGTGCATAAATTGCAGAATTGAAAACAATTGCATGTTTATTGGGGCATTTTGAATGATTCTTGAGTCAAATGTAGACAAGGTGAAGCTAAAGAGAGGGCTAAAATACTTTCAAGAGAGGCAAAGAGTGGTGTATTCAATGGTTTTGATCACATGAGCAAACCAAGGCAAAAGTGTAGCAAAAGATCATGGAGTTGTAATTCCCGCTCAATATGTTGACATCTTAGTATTTTGATCATATATCAGCATAAAAATGTCCAAATAAAATGATTCTTATTCAATTTGAAAGTAAACTCGAAGGGCTACAACTTTGATAAAAACTATCAAGTCAAATTCTAAAATTTTTTAGGTCAAAATGCATAGGAAAGTGCACGACCATGCTGGAGGCCGTGCCAACCGAATTTCTGAGCATTTTAGGAGGGGGTTGGACGACCTCTTGGATGGCCGTCCAAAAGGGAGTCCGCCTTTGGCATATAAAATGAATTTTTTAAACATTTTGGAAGGAGTTGGACTATCGTTGACCAGGCAGTTCGATCCCTACCTGCTCTACCACCCGTTTAAGCACGAATTGAGCTTTATTTTCATAATTCTGAACCATGGTTGAGCCCTAGTCATTTTCTACCATTTCCTTTCATATTTTAGGGTTAGATTAAGCTTAGATTTAGGTTCCTTAACACTTTTGAAGCTTGTAATCTTGGATTTGAAGTATGAATTTCAAGATTGTTCTTTCATTTTATTAGATAAGTTCTCTTTTCTTTTTATCTCTTTCATTTATGCTATTTATGATTTATTCTTGTGCTTTTATAATGTTTATACTTAATATGTGTGAGTAATTAGTTTATGGACTTGAGTTAGGGTTGTATTATCTATCTTGATGCTTAATTTGTGATCATTGCAAAAAAGGATAACTCTAGCATAGGGTTCATATGTTTGTAAAAGATTTGTGTTTGCATATTGTTAATGTTTGGTGTACAACATTCATTAACATTATTTTTGGAAGAATTTTGGCCACAAAAAAAAAAAAAAAGAGTTGAGTTAAGATTCTGAGCCACTCGTTGCATAAACTCAATATCTGCTTATAAAAATAGGAAAAATTGGGGGCTTTAAATGCTTTTTGTGTTTGAAGAACTTGAAATTGATACATCACGAGAGTGGGGCAATTTCTTGTTCTAATTCTTATTTATTTACCACGAGAGTGGCTTATAGACTAAGATACCAATGTGCATCCCATCAATTCCTTGGTTGTGTGATTTTCCCCAAATATTTAGATTTTGCTATGCATCTAGATGATAATGATCCCTAGCTTAAGTTCTATTTCTTTATTTCGTATTTATTTCTTGTTAATATGTGCTCGTGTTATCTTGTTTAGTTACTGTATCCTTCAAGATATATCCCCAAGCATAAACTCCTCTTATTTGAAGATCTATCCCCCAAAAAGGGTTGTAGAATCATTTTCATTTTGAAGATAAATTTATTTATTGTTTTAATCTTTGTTTCTTTCATGATGATCTATTTCTTTTATGTCTTTGTTTTACTTGCTAAGAATATGAGTGAGTTAGGATTTGAGTTGAGGATGATACGATATTCTAATGTCTATTTGATATCTATTGCATAAAAGGGGTAGAACCCAAATTAGGGTTCCGAATGTTGCATGTGAGAGATTTTTTGTATTCTTGTGTTAAGGTGTGGTGCACAACATTCTTAGCACTAATCTTGTAGGGAATCCAATCGCAATGAAAGTTGGAATGATATCCCATAACCCCTTCTTGCAACCCCTTTGTTCTTCTATGAGAGTAGAGAATTTAGGGATTTAGATTGTCTGGGCTTCATTGTAGGGAGTTGATGCATCACGAAAGTGGGGTGACTCTTGTCTTCAATTCGGGGTTACTCTAACTATGACACTGGCTTGTAATCTCCGAATTGGTGTTGGTGATCTTAGAACCTGAAATTGTGTTTTGTCTCCCCTTAATCCTCCTTAGGCATGACAGTAGAATCGCATGTTTCCTCACCTCAAATCCTTCCTTATAATTTTGAATTTTTATTTTTGATTGTTTGCTTGAACCCTCGATTTTGATTATTTGCTCTTTCAAAGATCATTCCATAGAGTCAATCCCTAGAGGATGACAAAAACTAAATTCTTAATTCACTTTCAACTCGGATCTGCTCGCAAGGAGTTGGCAACCACTCCCTTTCACTTTTTTTTTTCCAGTCTAAGCGTTATTTAGGTCAGAGAAACTGACCATTACTTAGACCATTTATTGGTCAATAAGAGCACGATAAGATTAGCCACTTCAATTACTACAGCATCAAGTAGTGGTAATGTGGTATCACAGTTGTACTTGCTAGTGGTGGATCATTGATGAATGTTATGACAACTATCTTTATCTTGTCAAGGTTGTATATGTAGGGGGAGAAGAGGGGGGGGATCAAGTTTTAGATTTTGGTATCTAAACATTTGAAAGGGTAAAAAATGCGTAATATGGACAACTATAATGACTTGTAATTTTTTTTTTAGTGATGATATTAAGATGGACAGATATTTTATTTAATGATGTAAAGAACTCTTTTCGAAGAAAATAAAGGAAAAAAATGTGCGTGGAAACATGTACAACGCTTAGCAAGAGCGGGTGCATGATCTTCAAACACTTGTTGAGTTCATAGGAGTGGTTATAACTAACTGGCAGCCACTCCATTTTACATTATATTGTTTTTTTTTTTTCATTTAAGTTATTAATTCAGTCAGAGTAATTGACCGTTACTTAGACTATTTAATTTGTTAATAGGGGCAATGATAAGATTAAACACGTCGACTATGAGAGCAACATGTAATGGTATAACAATTGTTCTTGTTTGTGGTGAATCATCGGTGAGTGTCATGACACATTTCTTTATCTTATTAAGGTGGTTATATATATAGAGGATGGCTCACGTGAGAACATGCTAAAAAATAAAGAGAAAATGGTGGGGTTATTTATATAAATATTGTAAATTTGAAAGTTTATAATAAGAGTTAATGAATAATTTGGTCCCTCAATTATTAACGAACTGTCAATATAGCCCCTCAATTGCTTATTCATCGATTTGGTCCCAGAAAATAATTATTTTTAGTCGATTTAGTCCCTCAGGCCGTCTTCCGTCGATGGCAGGAGGGACTAAATCGACTAAAAATAATTGTTTTTGAGGACCTAATCGACGACCGGAGGGACTAAATTGACTAAAAATAATTATTTTCGGAGACCAAATCGATGAATAAGTGAATGAGGGACTACATTGATAGTTCGTTAATAATTGAGGGACCAAATCGTTCATTAACTCTTATGATAATTATAAAATTGACTCGTGTTTTGTTTACTAAAACCCTCGATCGTTGATAACCCATGATGAGCGGTTAAGACCAGTCTTCACTTTTTACAAGAGGATATGTTCTCATTTGATCTTGCTTAATAATTTCGGGCAGTATATGTTAAAGAATTTTACGGGCAAATTATATCGTGGACCAAGGTTCATATTGTATGATGGACTCTGATCCAAAAAGATGCTTAATGTACATAAAATTACATTACATGTGGATCATATTTAATAATACTCATTATGTACAAGTTAAACGAGGCCAACCCGTCGGGCTAGGCTTGTATTAACCAATCGTTATACCCTACACCACAGCGGGCGTAGCACTGTGCGCCGCGCGTCTTCCAAAACGATGTCGTTTTGGGAGGCGCGGTAGGAAGTTGTTGTGATTATGTATATTTGTTCATACAATTACGTATATTTTTTATTATGTACATTTTTTATACAATTATGTACATTTTTTTTAATACAATTATGTACATCCAAATCAGTAAATTTTTGTGTATTATGTTAAGAGTTGATGTGTATTATGTTAAAAGTTTATGTTTATTATGTATTATGTTAGATTATGTGTATTATCTTTTAAAAAACAGTATGTATATTTTGTTATACAATTATGTACATTCACGTATAAAATTATGTACATTCATGTATAACATTATGTACATTTTTGAACATGAGATTTTTTTTAAGGAAAATTAACGGCCAAACACTTGGAAGTGAAATTTAAAAAAAAAAAAAAAAAAAAAAACGACGTCGTTTTGCATCTGGGCACACAATGCAACGCGCGTCGTGGTGCAGGATATAAATTGCCTTGTATTAACTTCTCTAGTCTTGCAATTTTCATTAAATTAACATTAATTCTAGGACAAAAGAGTACTTTCACAAAGTTAGCCTCCTCTTCTCTTTGAAAAACATTCATAAACAATAATTTGGATTGACATTTTTCATTAAAAATAAATTTTAATGCTATATTATGTGGTTTATAAATGTCTAGAAATAGAAGGCTAAAATTGCGAAATCATTAGGTTGCTAAGAAAATAACCTCAATTAGATGAAATATTAGACCAAATGTATCAAAAGTCAAATTTGTTATTTAGCCAAAATAAAATTTGAAGATCGACTTAATGTAATTAGCCAAGAACTCCGCACATTTGTTTCCTTCTTCAGAATATGAGAGACCTTCACAAAGGCCCCATGCAAGAAGAAGTTCCTACATTCCAAAAGAAGAGTCATTGTGCCCCTATCAAGAGGGGTTTGGAAGTTGTTTTGGTTGAGACAAAGTCTCTAGTAGGCACAACAAAAACACATTCTCTAGAGAGGTGAGAGGTGGTCTCCTCATCATCACCACATATGGGGCACCCTCCATCTGTAGTTATACCTCGCCTCCTCCTTAGCTCTCTACAGTTGTGAGTATGCAATTTTTCACAAGCAGTCAAATGAAAACCCTAACCCTCTTAGCGCACTTGATTTTTCAGACCTAGCCGAGCTCATCCATCTTCTCAGAATTATCTGCAATGAGGTCATAGGCAATTTTAACATGAAAAAAAAAATCTTGTATCTAACACAAACCATGTTAGGTAATCATGAATATCACCCTAACACCATCCGAAGCAATTGTGATAGCTATTTTATCCATGATCCCCCAAGAAGAAAAGAACCAAGCTTGTAAGTGTCTCACTCATGATTTGTCATGTTATAAGTTAATACTTAAGTCTTACCCAAAAAGAATTTACTAGGAAGTAGGAATTGCAAATGCAACAAGTGATCATTTCAATCTAT